TTTGATTTCATTTTGGTTTTTTACTACTTAATATTGATATGCAGTAATCCTGAAGGACACTCACGTTTATCCACCTGAATGAAGAGCCGTGTGTTGTTATCAACTTGGGTGGATCGTGTTTCAGTTTATGGCTTTTCTTGCAATTGTGGATTATAGTAATGAAGCCAGGATACATTTTCTCATACTCTTCAGACTCATCAGCAGTGCAGTGCAGATCTAATTACAGGTTTGCTGTGATGATTTCTGTTCCAAAGGGAGTTTAAAATGAGTTCTGTAAACAGAACTATGGAAGCTGAGTGTGAAGAAAAGTAAACTAAGGAAATAATTATTAATATGGCGATATGTAGCTTGCAATCTGACACTAAAGTGATACCTAACACAAAAACGTAGTCCCACAAGCGTTATTGCTCGTGCTGATGAATACTTGCAATGTATTTGCAATCTTCTTGGTTCGAGCAGTGCCAGAGCTGTGAGGCCCTTGCGCTGATGCAGTGGCAGTCTGGTAGCTGGGCAGCTGACGACCTGGTGGCACTTCACCCTCGGGTTAGGGGCTCCTCAGGTGCGATGCAGCTGGGGTGGTAGCTCTGCAAGCCGTCCAGGAATGTTCTGCATCCAGCTGGCTGAAGTGTCCAGAAGTCACTGCCTGTTTCTGGCCAGGACAGAGCCTCCCTTTGCTCTGTTCACCCTGCTGGAACCCCCCTCTTGGAGGTAGAAATCACACCTGGTTTTAGTGGCAGAGAAACTGCACCACTCCAGAATACTGTCTGTGCTACTTGCTTGCCAAAGTGCAAACCCCAGGGTTTTCAATTCACTTTCCAGGTGATTTCCATAGTCACTAAGAAATATGTACATACACAGAGTTGTTCTCTGCTTTTCTTTTGTGTGAGGTGCATCAGCCCAGGTGTACACTGACAAAGTCTGAGGAATCCCAATTCTGAACTTCCATTTGAATGAAGGTCTTGGGAAGTTTGCTGTTTCTTGAATACCATCCATGCAGAGAAAACTTTATGCATCCCAGGCAGCAAAAATGTAGTATATGCATTATCAGGTTTTGGGGGATCCATTGGCAGCTATAGAGTCATTTGAGAACGTTGGTGATTCCTAGGAGATTCCTTTGGGCTTGTACTCTGGATTGTTCATATATTTGTTAATAAATCACAAAATTCATGAGTATGTTTACTGAGTATTGTTTAATGAGTGTATGTTTTAATTAATAAACTTAAGTTTCCTCTAAGTTGTCAAACATGATGTTCCCTGAAGGTCACAGTCCTTTCAGCTTACCTGCATTCTGGTGGTGCTTGTACGTTATTCATTTTGGTTATGACCATTATGAATAATCTTTTCAAATTAATGCCATACCCAAGCTATTTCAGTATGCATTTATTTAGAATATTGTTCTTTATGATAAAGTTCTTGGATCCACCAGTTCAGTCTGCCTGGGCAGAATAAAATCTTCAGGGAGTTCAGACTTGGGAAGTGACCTCAGTCGGCAGAAGTTCAGCTTTGGTTTTCTGCTCCTTTCAAAGCTATTGATTCAACCAGATCTCCCACCTTCAATGCTTCTGTGAGAAAATCCTCTATGGCATCTTAAGTGAATAACTGATAGTTCTGCTTATTAATTCTCTGTTTGTTTCCTAGCTGGGCTCCAGGACCACATTTAATTTTGAGGAAATGCCCCCTCAGCTGTCTTTACTAAGCCAGCTGGGAGTAGAAAAGTTTTTGCAGATGTTAGGCACAGCACACAGCAATAAACTCGCCGAATGACATGAGCTGTGAACAAAGGCCGTCTCGTTTCCTCTGCTCCTGCCTTCCTGACAGTACTGTTGAATTTTAATCGTCCCTGTTCTAGGCTCAGACTGATGAAACCTTCGAAGAAATCAGTCAAACTCCCCCAAAGGGTACCAGGCTATTATGGTTTTAGAGAAGCCCTTAATCCCCCTTTCTGGGGGCTGTCTGATGCGTTCAGATTAATCAGTCTCTGAATAATTCATAGCAAAACTTTATGGAGACCTGATGCTATTCAGAACCACCAGAAAGGTCAATTTGTACTCCTGGATGCTGCTAGATATGACGTAAAAGAATCCTAAGTCAAAAAGTCTGTAGCATATGTAGAGGAACAATTTTGTTTCATTCTAAAGTTCATCAACATGTAAAATGATATGAATGAAATTTTCCATTATCTGCATCTGACTGAAGTATCCCGGTCTGCTCCTCACACTTTTCCTGATCTCCAGGAAATATGAAAATACTGAAGGTTCTAAAGCAGGCGTGTTCATTATTTTTCAGAAGTGGGTTGTATCTTTAGATGCTCAGTTCTGTCCCCTGATTCTGCCCAATCCATTATATCTGCCTTTGCCCATTCTGTTTTAAAATGTAGAGATTCTGAGAATTTCTTTTTTCTTCTTGCTTAGTGAAAGATTTGTGTTTTCTACTCTTCCTGTAAGCCTGTTCTCGTCCTGCAAGAGTGAGCATAACTTCATGGGAGACTACTGCCTTTTGCACCCTTGTTTTACTCCTACGTATACATATGCCATCTCGAGGCTGTAAAGGCTTGTTCATGCTGACCCTTATCATTTTTTGTTTGCTTTTACAGAGTCTCTGTAAGAGTTCGTCGTAACTGTTTATAGCAGTCCTAAACACACTATTAAATAAAATTTCCAGAAGTGACTGTCCTAGTTTCAAGGTTGCTTCTTAGTGGGGAGTCTGAATTCAATTGCCTTTTTAGACATTCTTTATCAATTTTGATACTATTTTCTCCTGACCATTACATCTTTACTACCTTAGATTACAACAGTTCTGTTTAAAATTATATTATTCTTTAAACCATTTAAACACATATTAATCAAACTGTCATTGCCACACTTGGTATTTCATACCAAATAAATATTATTTTTTTTTTGTGAGATTGCATGTTTAGCATTTGCATTCCCTAACAGAGCCGTTTCTGGAAAATGGGAATAATAGCCAAAAACAATATGTAATTTTATTCCAGCATGCACAAACAAATCTATGCCAACCTTGAACCACAGATTTAACTGTTTTGTTTCACAATTTCAGATATTTTTATGCATTTCGTTTATTACCTTTTATTCTGGTTTTGCCCTTGTTTGACCCCTGTGCCATGCAGTGCTCTCTTGGGTTTTTTTTTTTATTTTTCCATACCTTCATGATCTTCAGGCATGCACTTCTTTGATTCAGTTCTTACATTTTAGGAATAACTAATTGAGCACTTCAGATAAAATTTCAGCTAAATTCAGGTTCTCGTTCAGAGCTGGTGCAGTGTTTAGATATATCTTGTATAGGGCAGCCAATAAGAATAGCTTTTATTTATTTATTTTTGTACTGGGGCCTCTACATTAGCAGTGCATTAGGGCTGTGTTTGGGAAAGCTTCTTGGGCACGTTTACATGTGCGACATTGGACTCTGGTCTTGTCCTACCTTTGTTGAAAGCTCTGTACCTTGTTATCTGCTCCTGCTCTTTTCTGTTCTTACATGTTAGCTATAAAAATTTACAGTAATTACTGAAACAGTAGTTGACCTCTTTTCTTTTGGTTACAGCTGGACTTGAAGCGTGTTTCTCCCAGCTCTTGCTTTCCATACCTAAACTGTTTGATGAGGGCTAGGGCAGGGGGAACACTTAATGGTCCCTTGTCCCCTGATCTTCATGTCCTGTTAGAGCATCCCCATCCCCATGGTATGCATGCCCGAGGATGTCCTTGCTGCATGAAAGGCAGAATGATTTCATTAACCTCATTTCTTCAGTCTTAAAAATGTGGGGGTTTTGTATGCATTGCTTATATTGGATCTATGGCTTGTCTTCTCATCTGCTCGTTTCTGATTTGGGCATCAGAAAGATTAAATAGTAACTCGGATTTTTCATTGCCTTTGACTGTTCTCCCTCAGGAGCGAGAGGCTCAGAACACTGTCTGTATAGACTTGCATAAATGGGAGTCCTATATATTTTTAGTGGATTTTTTTTTTGTTAGTACTAATACATTTACTTTTTTTTTCTCATGCTTGGTTTTTTAAATAAAAGTCTATGCCCCCTGTGGGGTGAACTAATATTTTCTAATTTTTATAAGCCTCTTCTCACAGTGGTGTTGTCTATAAACACTTGAATCATTCAGGACCACAGAATGGAACTTGGCGTCAGTAAACAAATCACGTTTATTTCTTCCTAAGTGTTTACACAGTGACAAAAATCAAGCCCCCAGGGAATCATATTGTAAAAAGGAACAGTTGGTTTAAATTAGGTTTCCATGTGAAATATAGCTACTTTTTATGGATGTTGTGGGAACATAAACTGGAAAGAAAATCTGCACACTGATAAAATGAAGGTTTGATTTTTATTTGTTTAAATATAAACAGAATCATGCACTAAGTTAATTTCTGACTCTGGCATTAATTAATCGCCAAACAGAAATTGGTCATATGGTCACACTTAGGAAGGTGGGGGGTTTTCTTGTTTACTGCATTTGTGATCTTGCAAATAGATAATGCGAATTATTTTAAATGTTCAGTGCATATAGGAATTAGCAACCTATACAATTACTGGTTTTGTGAAATTAAGTGAAAATAAAAATTCCAATCTATCAACTTTCATTGTCCATGTTGCAAGAACAAGGGTTATTCACTGCGGCTGAGATTTGTAAGCTATGTTAATGAGAATTTACACTGCAGGTCTCTCTGGCAGCTTTAGAAATCAGTGCTACCTTAAGCTGACCATTTTCTTCCGTGGCCTGAATGTGTATGTAAAATATCTTACATTAAGATACAGTAGTTTTTTGTTTAATATAAGTATTTTAGAGTAGTTAATGATTTAACTGTTGTGAGTATGTCAGTGCATAAGATGTGATCGTAATGCATATGTGATTCGGCCATGAGCATATAAGTAGAATTTTGACTGATACCCTCCTGACGGAAGGAAACCAAAAAACCCCCACATTACCCATCCAGTGACATTGCTTTGGCTGACTGTACTGTCCATTTTGTTTTACAAGGTGAGCTCGTGGGTTACCTGGCTGATCCTGACTGCAGGTTCTATGGAGGAGAAACGAGAAGTCTTCTCATACTTAGTACATGTGGCAAAATGCTGCTGGAATATGGGCAACTACAATGCTGTAATGGAATTTCTGGCAGGCCTAAGGTACTGGCAACTCTTTTTTTTAAATGGCTTTTCAGTGATAGATTACACTGCAGCTTCTGTTAAGCAGACGTCTCTGGAGAACAGTGGGCTAAACCAAAATCGGTGGCTGAGTCACATCATCTCACCCTGTGACTTTCTAGTAATCCATTTTGGGAAAATGAAGCATGCTAAAAGCTGGGTTTTGGTAGTTTTTTTTTTTCAAAATGCTATGGAGACACCATTGGTTTTCCTGGTACACACTAAATATGTTATATTAGAAAACATACTTTTTTTTTAAACAGAATTTTTAAAAATATGAAAAGAAGATGGGAAAGCAGTTGGGTTTGTCTGTGAACAACTAAAAGTAATATAACTTGGGGTCAGGGTTTCCAGAACATAAGCGAAACATAATTGCAGTAACATTCTAAAAGGGTCAGTCTTACATTGTAAAAAAAACCAAACAAAACCAACCCAAACGAACAAAAAACACAATAAACCCAAACAAACAGCAAAACCTTTTTTTCACTCCTCAAATTTATTTATGTTGGCTGATGTGGGGATCTCATGTTCTCATGGTCTCACATAGCCAGACCTGCAGTGTCTCCAGGAGAAGGAGAGAGTGTGGGGCTGCAGGAGGTTTGTGGCTGCTTTCCCGCAGAATTGCAGGTTCGTACGGGGCCGGGTGGGCAGGAAAGCGGTGCCTCTGTGCAGGCAGCTCAGAGGGCAGCAAATTGGACCGCAGAGGGAAGAGTTAAGATCATCTTGCCCGTCTCTCAGCCCTGACCCTTCTTGTATATCATGTTTGTGTAACAAAGCTTTGAAGTGTTTGTAGCGTTGCTCTTTGTGGTTTAGTAAGGATTCTCACTGAGCTATTTGTTTACGGTTTTGGTATATAAAACCCATTTGAAGCACTCATAGACACGGGGAGTCTTTTTGAGCAGAATGCATCCACAGTCTCTAAGCCGTGTAAGTCGTGAGGGAAAATGCAAAGCAAATTAAGGGCTTAATTTTATCTCTAATGCATCTGCTAGTGCTGATTAGCAGCATTTCTGGGACAGGGACAGAAAGTGGGGTTAAGTCTACTGTTAGCATTTCTGCAGACCTTTTGGTATGTCTGGGGCCAGGGGCGGGTAGCAAGGCCGTACTGTTGCCCAGACATACAGCTCAGAAGGCGAGAGACCTCCCAGCGGTACTTGCAGTCCTCGGGGAGCATCAGGAGCTATTTCTGTTTGAAATCAAAGGTCCTTTTCATCTGTATTGGTGCCTGAGAGCTGGAACATGGTCCTGGTTTGTTTATTTCCATGAAAATAAATAATTTATTTTGTGAGTGAAATGGGAAAAAAAAATCAATGTAAATTATTTTAAATAAATTTAATTTAAAAAAATTCCCTTTGGCTAAGTTTATGGACTGTTCATAATACAACTAAAGGAGTTTGTAGTAAACCATGTGGTTTATCTTTATGCCATTTCCTTAATCTTTTCTTATTTCTTCCCAGGCCCTTATAAATTTAAGGCAATAACACAATGAAAATGTTAGAAAGCCTGCTTGTATGTCTTATGCAGCTGGGCTTTTATTAAAGTGTCAGATGTTACTCCAATAGATGAGACTGCTTGTTTTTCCTTTTTAGTTTTGTTCTTTAATAATTCAAAGGGGAGGAAATTGCCCACCATCCAGAATCTTCATAAAAACCATGACCTTGATTTCATTCATTCATTTCTGAGTAATGATGATCATTTCCTCTATTATATATATGCTGAGAGTATTGAACTTGAATGCAAATTGGTTTTCATTTTTTTTAATGAGCGTTGTGATCTCTTTTTGCAATAGGTCAAGAAAAGTTTTAAAAATGTGGCAATTTATGGACCAGTCTGATATTGAAACCATGCGAAGTCTGAAAGATGCTATGGCCCAACACGAGTCATCATCTGAATACAGGAAAGTAGTCAGCCGGGCACTCAACATTCCAGGCTGTAAAGTTGTTCCTTTTTGTGGTGTATTTTTAAAAGAGCTGTGTGAAGTTTTGGATGGAGCATCAAGCCTCATCAGACTCTGTCCACGATATAACTCCCAGGATGAAACATTAGAGGTAAATGAGACTGATATTCTAAGAGTTTATGGTCATAGACATCCAGTGCTGTATTTTCTATTAATTTATTTTTTATTATTTATTATTTTATATGAAGCATCATCTAATTAAAGTTTTCTAACCCAGACTGTTACCAGACCGTTCAGTTACATGGACCTCAATTTAATTCCCGTAGTTACTGTAGCAATTTACATTTTGTTGTTTATACCTAGTTCAGTATCAGAGTACTCAGAAATTAAAGTTAGTACCAAAGGATCGTGGGTTGGTGTGTATATATATATATTTATACTTCGGGTAAAGTAAGTATGTAAATCCTTAAAGACGTAACTATTTTCTGTTAAATGCTCTGACCTTCCACTTAACTCACTGGGAATCGGAAGGTTTTCAGTTCTTTAAAAATGGAATTCAGAAGCTCAGTGGATCAAGCTTTTCCTCTAGGAAAAGGAGCAATTCCATTGAGTTTTATCATTTTGGTTTTAAAAGAAGAATGCCCTTGTTACGTGAAAAGGTTAAGACTGAGGCTTTTAACATAAGTTACAGTAACTCCTGCAAACTTTTAACTTGATTTATGCAGTGATTTGGTCTGTTTAGGATTGAAAGTCAGTACAAAATCCCATTAGAAGCTAAAAGGAGATGCATACTAAATATTCTTTATTCTTGTAAAAATTTCTTTGCTGAGAAGTAGATGACAATATTCTATTTATTACTATACTAATCTTTCAAATATCTCTAGTTTGTTTCAGATTACACTGGACAGGATAATTTCTTGCAACGAGTAGGCCAAGATGGTTTAAATAATCCAGAAAAAGAATCAACAGCAAACAATATCTTTCAAACTATTCGGAGCTGCAATCGCAGTTTGGAATCTGAAGAGGGTGAAGACAATTTTAGTGAAGGGAGCAATTCAAGAAAAAACTCTTTGAAGGACAAAAACCGGTAGGTCTCGGTCTCATTTTATTTTCTATCATCACCTGTCTATTTCATGTTTTTAATCTTTAATTTCCTTTTACCAAGTCTTATTTTTAGAAATAAGGGCAACTTTAACATCTTCCCTGTAATTATCCTCTTCCAATTCAGAGCTTTGCCCCCCTGGAGTTATGCTAAGTATCTGACGCTCAAATGCTTGGAAACTCTCTGTATAGTTATATTTTCCCTCGTGATGTAACTACTTCCTCTCACGATAAGGGTAAATCCTTTTCATCTTACACAGAGAGCTTTAAAACTCTACAGTTACGATTACAATTTTGATCTGTGGTGACAGGAATAGCACCAGGACATATCTGTTATCAGTGTTCAGAACATTATATTCTGCATGCTTGGGCAGCGTTCTGCCCCTTTCAAAATAAAGGTTATTTATTATCCTTCAAAAGACCTCTTCTTTTAAGGACACATTCATTTGAGGCTTTTAAATTATGTCCAAAAAACATTTGTAAGTCCGTACACATTTTGAATTTTCAGCTTGCTATAGTCCTGCTATTTTGCATAGAACTTTACTTAATTGTGCCCCCTGTAAAAGCCCAGTGTTCAGTAATCTCAGATTTTCACTTCAAAGACCTGGCATACTCTGTACTATTCACCAGCAAGAGATATGGTAAATGCAAAGTTTAAAACATCTCTTGATCTTCTAGAATGTTGGTTTCTGGTGAAGTTGTAGCCCATATAGACATAGGTGGGTCAGCTTTAAACTAAATAACCGTGTTAGAGTAACTTCAAAGTAAGTAACAGAACTGTACTGTCCAGAGGTGAAGTGCTGCGAATTTATGTGAGGGCTTGCCTGAAAGGGCATGCTTCGATCGCTGCTTGAGGTATTTTATTGATAACGTGGATCAGAAATATCCCTATGTTCAGAAGTATCCAACATACTTAGCTGCTTACACATAAAATCTAATAAGTGACTGCCTGAGAAGGAACTACCATCTTCCTGTTTTAAATGCATTTATTTCATTAACGAGCATTTCTAAATTTCATTTCAAATAAATAATCATTATGTCCTGAAAGAATGGTTTCTAATAGAATTATTCACATCTGGCATTAGTTGCTTCTGGAAAGTGGAGCAGTAGATTAAGCCAAGAAAGACAGTCCCACTCCTCTGTCCATTTATGTTGTCTCCTGACTTAGTTCAGTTCAAATGCTTTCTTCCAGCAATTATTTTCGTTAATTAGTGTGCTTTAAAGTCACCTTGCAACTCACAGTCACAAACAATATTTCACTTGGATGAACAAAGTAGAATTTAAATATAAAAGAACAATATGGAGAAAATAAAGTTCTCTTTTGTTACGTGTTTATGAAATTGTTCTTGGTAAATTAGTTATTTATGCTTTATATTTAAATATGATCTAGTAAGTTCCACTAATTAAAGCAGGGATTCAGTGCAAAAAAAGAAGGCTAATATGACACTGAAATGAAAGTTTTAAAATTTAAGCAAAGAAAACTGCAGGTAGGTAATTAAAGTTATGTTTCCTGATTCAGGCTACTAACTACTCAGTTACTGGCTGTCTGTAGCTCTGGTGCAGCAAGTACTGATTTTAACTGTATAATGGCTTGTAGAAAACTACTGCTGAAAGTATTAATTAGCTCAAATACCTCATAGACTTCAGCAATTCCTTATTCACCTGCCGTATCTTTCCCGGGCATTCAGAAAGCTGGGTGAGGCACAGGGGCAAACGCTGCAGAGGCAGAAGGGCCGTACTCTGTTGTCCCTGTTGGATGGAGGCTGCAGTGTTTGGTTTATTTTTAATGCTATGAACAACTGGAGAGTTCTAAGGAAGAAACGTAGGTCTCTTTCTTGTGACACCTAAGTCATATCTGCATACAGCATTATAAAATCCAAATGATATCATAATTACTACCTGATAAGTGTAGTATTGTGGTCACAAAGGCAGAAAAATACACTGTATAACATGGTTCTCATTACTTTAAAATTGTAAGGAAGATTTTCAATTAGTCTGCCTTTTGCTGGTTTGGGTTAGTATTGTGGAACATGAACCCACCACAGCTGAGAAGTTAGTTTGATTTAAAGAAAAATGCAAGGCATCTGATAAAATCAGTGGGTAGTGGGTATAGTTACATCCCCAGTCATGTTAGCAAATAAAACTCTTCCCACTCTGTAACCAGTGACCTGCTGAATCACCCTGAATTTTCTGTACGTTCCAGATAAATATCAAACTTTATTTTTTATTAGAACTCTGTCTTGCAAGTTCTCAGATAAATAAAGGTAGGTAAGAAAAGACAAAAAAAAATAAAGTTTGAAATCCAGTTTTTATGGAATGGTTAATCAAATGACCTGTTACAATACTCTAAACTTCGATGCATCACTTCATTAGCCTAATCTCATCTTCACTTTTAAGCTTTCCTAATTACAGTAAGTACCTTTTAAAATAATGGGGAAAAACCTCAAGTTTTTTTTCCTTTTCGTATTCCATGCAATTTTTCCCTCTAAAATGTTTCCTTTATCCTATGTTTCCTTTATCCTTTTTTTCATTTCCTTGCATCTCAGTGCAGCCCATGTAAAGAAAGCTGCTGATTCAAACCGAGCTCTGTAAGTGTGTTCCCAGTAACGGATAGCTGTGTCGCTTTGGCAGCTCATGTCAGAGGTTATGATTCTGTGTGTGACTGCGTGTGTGTGCTTGCTCACCTGCTTCTCGTACATTTTAATCTGCAGCATGCCAGTGTTATCAAATGGGAAATAAGGCATAAATGGAGCTCTGCCCTTTCTGTCTCCACTATACTAGACTCCTCCAGCCATGCACATCTAGTTTCAGAATCCATTTTCTAGCATTTTTGCAGAGACTTACTTGATTGTTTTGAGGGCATTGGGGAGAAACAGCTGCTTTAGGTGTTTGTTTAATTTGAAAATCTTAATCTTGTATAATACAGGTGAATATTTTAATGTACATGTGTCTGGTATGACTCTGGTAAGACAGTTTATTCCAGCTCAGTTGTAATGCATGACCTTTATTTTTAGAAAGATTTCACAAGGAAAAAGAGCTACAGTTGAGGCTGATACAGTTACTCTGCCATTGCTTGTCAGTCCCCTCACCACAAGCAATAAATCCTCAGCCCGTTGGCCACTTTTAGCTAAATTTGGTGGAGGGGTGGAGGTCTCACTGATGAATAAATTCATAAGGGAGTCGTTAGAATTGATGTATGGAATACGGGAAAAATTCAAATTAATTAGTGCCCTGGGGAGAGAAGAGTAGAGGAAGACCTAACGGTTATCCGTGCTGTTCAGCTTAGGGAGGTGGTATATGGGACGCGTTCCAAGTCACAACACGGATCGTCTTTTGCTCAACCGGTTGGACATGGGCAGGAGCTGAGAGTACTGTGGTGATAGCAAGGGGAAGCACTGAGCGTATTAGGACAAGATGCCTTGAAGAGTATTCAGAGGAAGCTGGTTTGCATTTTATTGGCCGGATATCCTTAGGAAAATGTGCTTCATTAGTTCTGCCGGACATGGAACAGTTTGCTCTTTTTTTATGTTCATTAAAGCAGTATCAAAATATTGAACATTTGTTCATTCATGTTAGAAGCTTCTGCAGGGAAGAAATTTTATTTAAACTACCTCATTTATTAGTTCAGTATTGTTGCTCTGTATCTGCTGTTTCCAATTATGGTAAAATATTTCAAAAATTTTGGTTGCTGCATACAAGTTTCATGTTAATATTTTGCTTAAGTAAAATTAAATTTTCTAATGGAAAGTATCTGATAAAATTCTTGCTGCATTCTTATGAGGAAGGCATGTATTTTTATCATTATTTTACAAGTGTTAATCAGAGAATTATATTATGTGCAAGGTCTGCACATTAAATCAATAATAGAACAGAGATTAGGAGTCCTGTCTTCAATCCACTAGATTCTGCTAACAATTTCCACTTATAGTACTTGATATTTCAACTGAAGCAATCTTATGCTGTGCATTTAGAAACTGGAATCACTTGGCTTTAAGATTCAAACTGAAGTTTTTTGTTGTTAATGTAATGTTTGGAAAGTTCTAAGAAAATATAATTATATTGTTACAGGAGTTAGAATTAATTGTAGCAGCATCTATTAATTAATTCAAAATTGCAATAAAATAAACTGTAATACTATAAAAACTACGGATGTTCCTGTAAGTCCAAATTATATAGTGACAGTAGTATTCTTTTTATTTAAACTACAGCAGAAAAAATATTCATCAATCATAGCATAAATCAGCACATATAAGTCTCTCTTCTTTGTTCCCTTACAGATTTATAATTGGAGATCTTTCAGATTCTGAAAGTGATATATTTGAGCAGTTGAAGGAGTGGGACACAAATTCAACAGAAGAGCAACAAAAGGCGTTCTGCCACGGGATAGAGCTCATTCCCTGGTATGTGCTATCTATCCGGGCTGATGTCCATCAGTTCATGCAACAAGGGGCGACCGTCATTCATTACGACCAGGAGACACATCTCTCAGCGCGTTGCTTTCTTCAACTTCAGCCCGACAATAGTACTTTGACTTGGACAAAACCCACAACAGTTTGCCCCGCAAATGCGAAGGCAAAACTGAGCGTGCTGGGTAATACTGCTGAGCTCGGTAAATACCAGTTTCTTGGTAATACCGGACTGGTGGAAGGTTTTTTGGACTTGTTTTCCGCCAAGGCTGTATATATGGGACACTCTGGCATTGATATGCACACTGTGTGTGTTCAGAATAAACTTTGTAGTATGTCCCTTGAAGAAAATGGTATAACACTACTTTATGGACTTCAGACTACTGAAAATAAGTTGCTGCACTTTGTTGCTCCAAAATATACTGCCAGAATGCTATATGATGGATTGCTGGAATTGATTAAAGCGGTAAGAAAAATGAGGAGATTTCCTGATCAAAGACTACAGTGGCTACGGAAACAGTATGTCAGCCTTTACCAGGTAAAAGATGTTGTGATTTTGTATAAGAAAAGTTCAAAGATCAACAACTTAATGTAATGCAATTCATTTCTATTATAAGTAAGCTAAGATTAAAGGTGAACACCAAATCTCTGACTTTGTAACACAGCTAAAGTCAGAAAAATCTGGTTCTCCACATAAATGTTCTGTCAAACCTTGCATGTTTTCAATACACTGAAGTTTTTTGGGTTTTTTTATTTTGAAGCTCTTCATATGTTTGGAGTTTTGGAATAAGCATTTCATTAAAGAAAAAGCAATGACTGTACTTGAAAAGGGTGCTGAAATACTGAGTGATAAGAGTTAGGGCCAAAAAACCCCCCAAAACAGCAAACAAAATAGCCCTTTGGTATTCATACAGTAATTAGAAATTCTCTCCTCTTGATGTTTTGTCTTTCATTTGTTCCTTAGAGATGTCTATATTATTGCTTAAGAAAATGTGTCTGTTCTTACTCTCCTTGCTTTGTTAACGCTGAGAATTTTTGTAGGAGGATGGAAGGTTTGAAGGCCCAACCTTGGCTCAGGCTGTTGAACTGTTTGGAGGCAGGCGATGGAGTGCAAGAAACACAAGCACGGGAACTCTCACCAAAAGCACCGAGAAACCTAGTGTCCAGAGAAACAACACTCTGGGAATAAACGCAGCTAAGAAAAAGAAGAAAGTACTCATGAGGGTAGAATATTTTGTTATTTGTATATTTTGTTGCTTATATGGCAGATTTGTTTCCTTCCTACAGTTACTATGTATTCTGAACCGGAGAAAAGAAGTTAGATGATAACTCTAAAACTGTTTATTGCAGTTTATTGTTTTCCATTAGTTTGGGTTTCTTTTCTCAGGACATGTGTGCACTGGGGCTAGAAGAAGGGAACAGTCGTGTTGAGGCCTTTAGGTGGTACCTCAGTATAAAGGTAAAATATTGGTAATAATAAAAATATTAATGTGCAAAGTGATGTTTGGAGGCTGGTGTCGGTTTCTTTGCTTCTTTTGGTTTTCATATTTGCCAAAACATCACCACAGTTGTTCTGCTTCAGGTTAGCACACAGTTCTATCTTCCATGGCTGATAGGAACTCTGGACTTTGTCTGGCAGACTCCTCTCTTCTCCTGGACTCAACCACTTTTGCCAATACCCAGGAGAGGAAAACGCAGGGACTTAGCAGCTCTACTCCACCCAGGTGTTCTAGTGGGCAGGTAGGGCTGGTCCTCAAATGACAAGGTTCATCCTCTTTAGGGCTCTTGAGCACCAGTGGCATAGTGTAAAATCAGCTGCACCACTTTAAAGAGGTGCAATCATTGTTGTCTTCTGTGTGATGTCAAACTGAGGTAACACCTAATGGTCCCACACTTCACTATGTATCCCATTTCAGTTTTCTCGTTCCTACAGGTATTGGCCTTACAGGAGTCTGTTTCATAAGGAATAGCTGATCTATCTCACGGGTTGTTACAGATTGCACTGATAAAGAGTGGGAAAAGTAGTGTTTTGGGGATGTTTATTATGGTGCTCATTTTTTCTAGGGTGAAAGTGGAGAGGCCACTGATGATGAAATGGCAACTCGTAAGGCAAAAAGCTGTAAGGAATATCGTAATAGAAGTGGTTCGGATCCTCAAGACATTGATGAGCAAGAAGAACCAGGTAGATATATAGCTTCAGTACTTAAAAGTCCCTCAGGGTTTTGCTCACAGTCTTTTTATACAGACATTTTTTATGGTGTTAAAAATACATTTATGATATAAAACTACTTTTGCAGATGAAACTCCAAATGCTATATAAGCTTCTAAATTAATTTCTGTAGTTGTTCATGATTGTTCTTTCATTTGGTTTCAGTAGCACTTCCTTTCCATTCAGATGAAATGGGTATCTAAGTGTTGTTCAGAATGTGTCTTTTTGACTGTCTTGGGACAGATCTAGAATGCCTTTAGTGTCTTACTACGTGTTAATGAATCATGATATAGGTCTCTTGGACAAAAGCATTTTTATTGGGCCAGATGTTGTAATTGTGCTGCAAACTTTTGTTTTCTCCATAGATCAAAGCATTATTATTAATGCTTCTCCATCGAACAACCTGCCATCAAGAAGAGCTCACTCTCTGACAGCATCTGCATCTCCTAATTTAGGAGCTACAACATCTTCACCAGCAAGACCGGTCTCCTCACCTGTGATGTCTTCAAGCAAAAGTCAGTCTAGGTAAGGACAAAATCAATGCTTTGATTTAAAGAGAAAAAAAGTTACTGTGATTTAATTATCATCAAATGTGGTTTTCATGCCAAACTGACAAAATCTGACAAAAACAATGCCAGAAATGTTATTAGCCTTTTGATAGACATCTAAAACACATTGTAGAACAATATAGGACATTTAAGCTGAAATACCATGAATCTGAGGATGGCTTTGTAGCAAGTCCCTGAGCAGCATGCTTCAGTTTATGACTGTTACAGAAGCAGATTGGAATGCTGTTCCAAAACTACACAAATAGGGAGTTTAACTCTTTCTCCAGATCTTCTCCAAAGCATAGTTATAGACATGTTCTGTATAATGAAAATCAATAGAAACGCTATAGATATGTGAACTGAAGTTCTGAGGTTTCTCAGCACAAGTCATTTCTACCTGGGGGAGTATTAAGTTTTGCTGACATTCCTGGTGATGATTGCAGTTCTGTCAAGGGAATTGGAGGAACAGATTTGAAATCTTTCTCTTACAGGCCTCTCCTCCTTGAACACTTTTGTGTCACTTAGGCAGTGCAAAAGGTCGTGCTGTGGTTGTGCAGTGACGTCGTGCGCTGATATATTAATTCTCTTAACGCTAACAATGGTGGTGGTGGTAGGAGGAGTTGTAGTAATAACAATATAACAAGGAGAACGTGTCAGGGATGTGGATGTACTTTACAACAGACAAGAAGACAATCTCAACAGAGGCCTTCTAGTGCCTTTTAACAGAATGAATAGTGAGGTATGGTTATGGGTTTGAATCACGGGTTTTCCAGGAGAGCAGTGGTAAGCAATGGAAGAGATTACTGCTCCTGGTAGAACATTATTTTTGAAGAGACATGTCTTGCGTAATGGTTTATGTTGTGTATTTCTTCGGGATTTTTTTTTATGCTTAAAACAGTTGGGTTTGGCAATAGATGTCAGTAGTAGAGCCACCTGTGGACATCTGTGGTTGGCTGCTTCTCCTTTTAACATTGCTTTCTGTGACTAACTATGTTCGCTTTTTGTTCTTCACTGTCATTCACAACCATGGGATGAACATGCCTGACCAGGATTTATCTCTGTAAGACATTTATCTTTTTTTTTTTTTTTTTTAAGGATTGGAACAGCTTTCTTTTACATTAAACTGAAGAAATACTGCTTTACTACCTCTGGAAAATGCTTCTCAGTTTTGCTTCTTGCTTTTATGCCAAAATAATTGTTGTTCTCTAAATGAGATTAAAAGGCTCAACAGAGAACTCACATTCCCGGGGGAAGGACAGCTAATGTTCCTTTAAATCCTCTCAGTCCTGGGTTTCTGTACCGATCGCTGCACAGCTTAGCACTGTGGGCCACCCTCCCCCCCCGAGCTGTAACAGGTTTTCCCTGGCAAAGTTGCCTGGAAACTCCAATGCCTTGCTTGGTAGAGCTCTCCCCAACTTGATACAACCCTTCATGCTGGGATTTGCTCAGGATACAGCTGTATGGCTGTTTCAGCTGTCCTGAGGAAATCTTCCACAGAACAGAATTACATGTTTTATCCACTACCTTGATGGAGTTTTCATGAGCTGTTAAGAGTCCTGGAGCACTGGAGAGAGTTTTATTCTTGGTATTTACCCTTTGGACCCTTGGAAGGTCTGAATTGTGCTTGCCAGTTTTCATGTGTGTGGACACTTCACATGTGCTAAAAGAAATAAATATCTGTAGTGCCTCAATTGCGATCAGTAAGTCTAAGCTATCAAATAGGTGGCGCTCTGCTTTGCTGCAAAGTCCTGTGATTGTCCGCCTTTTATGTGTATTAATTCACTCCTGGAATCTCTTTTAGAGTAAAGCAGCTGGTTGCCTTCAAGGTGGAATTTAGGTGCAGTTCTGGGAATATTTACTCCTGAGTTCTGTAATTAGATGGTATGGATGGAGAGCTTACTCTGTCTCAAACCATCTTCAATATACTGTCTTGCAGGGCACACTGCCAACAAGGACTGTACCTTCAGGCAGTCCACCCACAGTCATGGCATGTGCTATTGCTTTGCGTTACATTAAATAAATGGTAGTCTGTCAGGCAATAATAAATGTCACAGCTTGTTTCAGCTCGTACACACACCAAAAATGAAAATGTTGGCTTAGAGACAGGCAAGCACCATGGGGGACCAAGCCAGACCTGAACCTGGGCAGTGCAGAGCAATGTGAAATTGAGTCTTTCTGCCCCGCTCAGAAAAAGTGGCAGGCAGGATGCCTTTAGCAGTATAGATATAACTGATGGAGGAGCAGACTGGGGCGTCCACAAGCTGTGGTGTGGATAGGCTGTGAGCACCACAATATTCTTCCTGGAAGCTATTGCCCTTAACCATGGTGATACAGAAGCAAAGTAAGTTTGGGAACCCACGCAGGCTGAACACAGACATCTTTGGTTTATTTTTGCTCCATTTTTGCTGTTAATTCTTCAGTCTTGTAAAAATCAAGTTATATACTTAGTTATATCCAACCAGTTTGTCAGTAGCATCATAAATTAAGATAAGATGAAGTATCCATTTTCCAAAGTAACAGAAGGTTTGAATGTCCTAGATAATGAAATAACCTGGGAAATACAGGATCCACTGGGAGTGCTTGTACGGATTTGTATGGCTCTGCACAGATTAGAGCCAACAGAGTTTATTAATTTGGATTAGCATCTGGATTTAGACTCCAACACTGACAAGGCTTCATAGTTGGAGGCAGTGTTGGACATGAACTGATTGTGCACGTTAGGTGACTGCACGATCCCTCCCAGAACCCAGAGCTTAGGAGAGCGGGGAGCAGAGGGTCCCACCGGGCTGCGCAGAAGCCATTGCAGCACAGAAAACTGGGCTGGTGACAAATGCTTGTCAGCTGCAGCGTAGCAGCTAGGAGGAGGAGAGCAAGAGAGATTTCTAGTTCTTCTCTTTCTCTTGCCATATATGTGCATTAACTTTACCTGACCAGTAAATTAGATCATCTCCACCAAGTAAGAAGTGCTAAATAAAATAAAATTTCTTAAAGTGAAAAAAACATCCAAATATAATGATAGCAGTTTAAAAACAGGAGGACCTGGCTATCTTCACTGTACATTTTAAATAATAGTAATTCTTATAGGTGGGCAATGAAAAATGGTATTTTTACATATATAACTCACAACCTTAATATTCCTGATCTCCTTACAAATAGTTTGCACTGAGAATAAATCCTTGTACAATCCAGATGTCCAGATAATTTCCAAACACAGGTAGCCTGCAGCTGTCCTCTGTCATTCTTTCAAAGCAGATGTGCATCCAGCAAATTCCCACGTTCTTTGGAAATCTTTAAGGTGGAGGAAGGAGGGGAAAGGGTGGTAAACGCCACTGGGAAACAGATAATAGGATATGGAAAATTAGAGATGGGGGCTTTTTTGCAAAGAGAGAGTAAACTGCTTCTCTCATTAGCTGTATACAGGTATAATCCAGACTGCTAGTAGTTACAGGTTTGGTTGTTGGTGGCAGTGGGATTTTCTTGGGGGTTTTGGCTTTTTTTCAACAGCCTGTATTTATTACCCATGGTACAACTGTGGAAGATACACTCTAGTGATCAGATCTGGTGAAATGCTGAGCAGTATCATCTGCTGCTGGTCTTCCATTTGGTACTCTGCAGTTCCAGTCTGTTTTCTGGAGTCAAGAGACTTTCCTCATCATGGTTTATTTTTCTTGTCTGATAAAAATGTTAGGAATTATTTTAGCCAAAAAGTTATATGCAGTATGCCAGTACTTGCCATAGTGATGTCAAACAAACTGTACGTTATCAACTAAAGTAGATGGTATTTTTTAGTACTTTGAAATCACATTCTGTTTTCAGTTGCATGCATCCATCCCAGGCCAGGAGTCAATTGAGGAATTTGATCATATTTATGTAAAAAGTCAGCAGCTTGCAGCAGGTGACTGCAAATGTCTTTACGAACACTGGACAACAAGCTGGTCCTGTTTTTCCATCACAGCTGTTGGAACTATTTGTACTGAACCTGATGGCAGAATTCATAAACTAAGGGATTTGTAGATTTGAACATCACAGAGCAATGAAGTCTGACACACAATAACCAAGTGTGATACTTTGAAACAATTACTGTAACCTCTGGACTTACCTATGGTTAAAACTAGAAAATTTATTGATATTTGTGCTGCCTGCTTAGATCGCTCCCTTTTCAGGATGCTGGTGCTGTCAGATCCCAGTCCTGCAGTGTGTGTTCATTGATGTTTAGGCCCAGGAAGGGGCTCAAGAGCTCGGCCCATCATTGCAAATTAGTACCTGAAATTCACTAAGGACTTGCTCATACTGCTCAAGGGGTAGTTCAAGTCGGGGCCTAACTACGCTTACTAGTGTAAATCCTGTAATAGTCTAAAGATTTTGGGACGTGGCTTTTGGAAATGTACTGGTTCTGCTTCAAAAATTTTGTTCAGCTGCACAACTTAGGTTAACAATTGCAGTTATGAAGAAGTTGGCTGGGCTTGGTATTACTCAAGTCAACTAAAATAATTAGCACCAAACAGTGTTGTTTCTGTGATCATTCTCTGCCTTTGCTCTCAAGAAGTTCCAGTTTTCTTTCCTTCAGCCCACAAAGCTGAAAGGAGGAAATCATTAGAACCTCATTTCTAGAAGGAACTGGTCCCCAGAGGCTGCTGTCCAAGCCCAAGAGAAGAGGAGGACTGTAGCTTGACCTGTCTTTGAGGTGTCTGGTGATAATCCCGACTGTTCTTGGAAAGTAACCAGGAAACCCATGAGCTGGGAAACAATGAGGGTTGAGTGTCAGGAAAGGGGAAGGGTTATGCGTCTTAAAATCTGCACCTTTAATGCTCCCAGGTACAAGAAACCCCAGCTGCGTAAGGAAAATATTTGTTTTTCTTGCATATCCAGTCAGAATATTACTATTTTATTTTGACGTTGCAGAGCTTTAAGGAATTCTACATCCATTTTATTTTTCCCTTAGCATAAACATAAATGGCCTGCGCTACAAGAATACTGGCATTGTTTTCTTTAAAGGGAAAATGAGAATGCTTTTGCACATGGAAGAGTTTTAAATAGCATGCATATACATTATCAATTCTGGCAAAGTCTTGAGTTGTCTTGAGGGAAAAGAATAGCTGCTATAAAATGAGAAGGTACAAGCTGTCATTATGCATCATATAAGATACTGTTTTACTTGCTTCTTCCAGAAATTGGTAATAAATGCATTGAGGAGAGCACAAATAAAGTGTTAATGCAATAATGAGTAATATTTCAGTAAGTAGAAATTTAACGTAACCAAACTACAGCAGTTTCTTTCTGATTTAGCACATGGAGCAGCAGTAGCTGGCATGGCCGCGTTAAAGGAGGAATGAAGGGGTTTCAGAGCTTCATGGTGTCTGATAGTAACATGACTTTTGTGGAATTTGTAGAGCTCTTCAAATCTTTCAGGTAAAATATGCTTTTATTCTGTACTGATCTCATTCATCCCACTTTATAAAAGAGCAAAAATTGAATTTTTCAACTCTTTTTGCAGTGTCCGTAGCCGCAAGGATCTGAAAGACCTTTTCGACGTCTATGCTGTGCCTTGCAATCGGTCTGGTTTAGAGCCTGCTCCACTTTACACTAATTTGAAAATTGATGAAAATAGCACTGGATTCCAGCCTGATTTAGGTTTGTTAAAAGAGGAAAATACAGCTGTTAGACTGCTGGACAGCTTCTGTTATTGGCCTTAAGAACAGGAGTCTCAGTCAGTCTCATAAAGAGCCATCAATTATAAGTAGAGGATTGCTGCTGTACCTCCACTAAGACCTAGTTAGCAGGGGGTAAGGCAGGTTCTTTGTTCAGAAATGAACAGGAGGAAAAGTATTCCTCCTTTACATTAGCCAGATATATTTGTAATCTGTAGAGCAGAGGCATAAAACTTGTTGCTGAGCCACTGGGCCCAACAGAGGGATCTGTATCTGATTGCAGGAGCTCTGGAAGGGCTAAAACACTGAGCAAATGTAGGGAGGAGAAATGAGGAGGCTGTGGCCTGTGTCTCATTAGGTTGGTTTTTTGCCTATCTGGATTCCTAGTAGATCTGCTTTATGTGGGACAAGGGGGAAGGAAACCTCTGTCCCCCTTGACGTTCCCCAGTTACCATAATTTAAGTCTGGAGCTTTGTCCACATTTAAAGAAAACAGCCTTTCTGCCAAGCAGCCTGTGGGGAGGGCACAGTACCATGGGCATGTGGGACTGGAAGAAGATAAACGGTGATCACACAGGAAGGGTACGGGGTTGTACACAGCGAAGGAAAGGCTTTGAGGCTGTACGTGGTGGTGAGAGGAAGCAGCAGGGTCCTGGGTGATGGTGTGTGAGAGGGTGTGAATCCATGTGAAAGGTTCCAGGATTTTGTTTGTAGTAATTAAACACTTACAGTCTGCTCCCACTGTTTTCATACATGCTTCATACTCTTTCTTCTATTAGTGCATAGAAATAAGATGATTTGGTTCTAATTTACTATGTCAGTGCTAAAATATTCAGTCAGCTATTGATGTGTATTATATATTATATTATTTTCTATACAGTATATATAATATACATAATCATATAGCTTATATTTATATTTCCTTTTTTTTCTTTTAAGATTTGTTGACTAGGAATGTTTCAGACCTTGGTTTGTTCATTAAGAGCAGGCAGCAACTATCAGACAACCAGAGGCAAATATCTGATGCTATTGCTGCTGCCAGTATCGTAACCAATGGTACTGGAGTTGAAAGCACATCGCTGGGAATATTTGGAGTGGGAATCCAGCAGCTAAACGACTTCCTAGTGAATTGCCAAGGAGAACACTGCACCTACGACGAAATCCTCAGTATTATCCAGGTCTGTAAAACAAACATCTTGCAATTCTTTTTACCTGAGCTCTTGTTACTTCTGTTTTCCCAACTTGCATTGTCCACCTCATAATCAGAATAACGTATCTGTGTGGGTATCTCCTTGCACACTGATGTTGTCATGACAGTTTACCTGAATTTCAAATTTAATTATATCTTTATTCTGGGATATAAGTTGTGTGGATGTCCATAAATATGTCCATAAAAAGAAAAAAAATCATGCAAATGAATAGTTTTATTTGCTATGCTTGCTTTATCCAGAAAGGGATGTCACCACTTGGGAAATGTATTCATGACAGTGCATTTTTTTCTCCTTGTTTGTGACAACCTTTGATAGAGCTTAACACTAATTTAGAACTTAAAAACCCCACCATTTCCACATATTTTTATTTTATTATTAAAAAGTTTCCAGAGCAAACATGGGCATTTTATTCCTTTATGTACAATGGCTGAAGTCATTAGAAAGTATGTTGAAAATTTTGAATTCTTCCAAACATGCCTAATTAATATACTCCAAAATTAGGCCCCCACTTAGCAGTTAACAAAGGCTTAAACCTGTATGTTTCAACTCTCAACATGTAATATAAAATCACAAAGTTGAAAAGACAGAAATTCTAAAGAAACATCAGATTGGCATACCACAAGTCTCTCTAATTCGAGACGGTTGTGTGTTGTGTTTAAACACGATAGATAGGAGAAGGATGCCTGGTTATAGATCCTTTTTAATTTCAGCTTAAGTGCTGACTCTGCTTTGAACAGGAGGTTGGATTAGATGACTTCCCAACATCCTTTCCAACCTGAATGATTCTATGATTTGCAATTATGAGTTTAGTATGCTTGTTCAGTGATTTGTAAAACAAGCGTGAGCATACTGCAGGCACCTAATTACTTTATCTACAAAAAGACTGGTTTTAGATACTAACTGGTTAATTCAGTGAGCAGACTACACTATGAAAACAAGAAAAAGATGTATTTCTAAGAATTGTTACCATACACCTCTTAAATTTCTTCCTCTTTATAGAAATTTGAACCCAGTGTGAATATGTGCCAGCAGGGGCTGCTCTCTTTTGAAGGATTTGCAAGGTAATTATTTATGTATTAATTTTTGTGTGTGTGTGTGTGTACAAAGATGACACCAGTGTATTGGTGTTTGTATGACAGTCACAAAATACTCAGCACAGCAGAAAATTTCCTCACATCTTCTCGCTTCTAGGTTTTTGATGGATAAAGACAACTTTGCCTCCAAAAATGATGAGTCACAAGAGAATGCTGAGGACTTGCACTTTCCGCTGTCCTATTACTACATAGAATCTTCCCACAATACTTACCTTACCGGCCATCAGCTTAAAGGGGAGTCCTCAGTAGAGCTCTACAGCCAGGTATGCGGGATTGGATCGCTGTGTAGTTTTCAACATGAACTTGTTTGTTTAACTGGCAAGTCACAGAAACATGACCTTTTTGCTTTGAAAATCTGAATGTCCTAAACCCCTGCTTGCAAAAACGTTGGAAAACATGATGTGTGGGAAAGCTGCCTGTAAGCACAGTTGTGCTCAAATGCCTTTTCTAAGGCAAAAAAATGGGTTTAGTTTGAGATTCATAGCATTTAGACACCAGTTGGTCTGACCCAACCTACTAAAATTAGACTTTCCCACAGGAAAGACTGATCTAATATTTTAGTTCATTCAGATGTCAAAAACACTACTCAAATACTGTACATTGCACCACAAAGACAGATTTAAAATGGAACTATAACTTCTAAAAACATTACTTCTAGGAATATTCTACAGTTTTTTAGACTTTATGCCTGACTGGTGGTGAACAGGAAAGGAACGGTTTCTCCCCAGGGCTTTTGGTTCTGCGATTGTTTGTATATATTTATTTGTGTGTCTGTATATTTACCAAATCCTAGAGAAAGCATCAAACTTCCTGTGAGTAGTGGTTTCATTACTCTTAAAGTTAATGACTCAACGCTGAGAAGGGCTCATCTGGCATCCCATGTGCTGCTTTGCCCGGAGTTAGGGGTGAGGCTGTGTTAGGAAAGCTCAAATAGCATGATTGCATTGAACAGTGCAATTGCAGAGGGGGTTTCTGTAGTAGCACTGCGTAGAGCGATGGGAGTGTTGTGTTGGTAATAGATGGGAAGTGAGATAGAGCTCAGCTGGCTCCAAAATCTGCGTGATGCAGAAGAGCTTCTTCCTGCCCCGCAAGCAGCTGTCCCCAGAAGAGAAGGGGCACTTGGTTCTGCTCGCTGTGCCTGGCTCTCACAGAAGTGGTGGTGTGCCAGCTACGGACACAACTGCCTGAAATCTAATTATTGAGGTTTTGAACAGGAAAAGTAATTTTTTTTTTTTTTGTTTATGAATGTTTTTGCTGGAAATGGTTTTGATTGTCAAGGTCTTTGTTTTCATAAAATACTTCATTGTAATACAGATAACTCTTTCAATGATAGGCATGCTAAATGTCGATAGCAATAATAAGCTGGGCTGCCAACAGATGGCTTAGCTTATCTTTCCCTCCATCCTTCCACTTTGCTTTCTTCAGTGGTTTTCCAGCAAGTTGGGCTTTCTAAAATAAATAAATGAATAAATAAAAAATGGATGGATGGATGAATAGCTGTAAATTAGCCTAATATTATTAAATAAGATGGCCTGGCGCATCTCCATTCTAACTATCCTCGTGGAAGTTGCTTATAATATGTTATTTTCAGACCTTCTTCTGCTTAAAAAACTAACAACAATAACAAAAAGAAAGAGCAAACTAACTGCAGATACCATGCCCATAAGCTGTCATGGTAGCAACCTGGAATAAATGGCCATGTTGCTTTATAGCTGCTTTTGCAGGTAGAAATACGGAAATGTTTCTCTCCCTCAGAACATTAAGCTATACATTAAGAACCACTTTTCTGCACACAGATGCCATATGTCCTGTAAGACAGCATGAATATCAAGGCTTTATGGTACTTCTCCTAAGAACAGAAATGCTTTCTTAATTCTCCCACTCTTTCTCAACCTAGGGAATGCAGCTCACTGGGGACTGTAGCTTCTGTGGGCTATGTTTACTCTGCAGAGATTGCTCTTTCCAGCACTTTTGCTAATTCACTGGGCTTTCACTTAGCTCTGCAGTGTCTGTTTTCTGCTTTGATGGCACGAGACCGTGGCTTATACGTGCTTACACTGTTCAATTGCATTGTAGGTTCTTTTACAAGGCTGCAGAAGTGTAGAATTAGACTGCTGGGATGGCGATGATGGGATGCCTATCATTTATCATGGGCACACTCTTACTACCAAGATCTCTTTTAAGGTATGCTGGTAATTGCACATAGAAACAAAAAATGAGAAGAAAATCAGTAACTTTTTCTCAAGAAAAAAATTTACCTACTAGGAAAGTACAAATCCTAATGGGCTAAATCCTAGTAGAATATGAGCTATGGACTGTGTCAGACATGAACTCAATTGTAAGCATTATACTTTTCAAATCAGTTTTTGTAGCATATGTACTGTAATTTTCTGTCTTTTTATTGTGAACTTGACTAACATAAGTAGCTGTTACCAGTTCTGTTGTGACAAGATGCTAGGTTGATCTGTAGGAGCTTGTTTTGAAAGCAAATTGTGGATTCTTTCTTCTTAGAGGGGAAAACAGATGCCTTCCCTTCTCCCCTTTCAACTAACAGGGATTTAACTGAATGCTGCAAAATAATCACATGTTCTTTCAATGACCTGTCTTTCTCACAGGAGGTAGTTGAAGCTATTGATCGCAATGCATTTATCACCTCCGACATGCCAATTATCATATCAATAGAAAACCACTGTTCATTGCCTCAGCAACGTAAGATGGCTGAAATTTTCAAGGTAGGCCATAAATTGTGGTAAGTTATTCTAAGCATATGCCTTGGGATTTTCCATAACACATTACATGTTCTCGATATTTCAGAATGTATTTGGAGATAAGCTGGTAACCAAGTTTTTATTTGAGAGTGACTTTTCTGATGATCCCATGCTTCCTTCACCCGGACAACTGAAAAGAAAAATCCTGCTTAAAAACAAGAAGCTGAAAGCCCATCAAACACCAGTGGATATATTGAAACAAAAGGTAAAGTCCTTCCTTAATAAGAAGCAGTGAGACCTAACTTCTGTTAGAAATAATTCATTTGTATTTGAAGTTTTTGCCATTCCAATATCTACAGCAGAATAATCTAATGCATATTCATGCTTGGAAGACTCACAGTGGATTGCAACACTTTCAAATAAGTAGACCATGTAGTAAAGTATAGATACAGCGTAACAAAATTTTAGTGTATTTTAGATTCATAATACTTCATAATATGATTAGCACCACATGCCCTATGTGATAAGTATAAATGAAGTTTCACTCTGGGGCTATGACATTTGCTATTCATGTTTGTTGAGAAATAGTGATATGCATTGAGTACGCGGGTATATATACAGTATATAGTAATTTTTAGTAGAATTCTGCTTTGTTTCTTTTTTCATATTCAAGCCAGGCAAATACTCTCTTTCTTACTCCCTTTTTGGGGGACTCTGCTATTCAGGTAGTGCTTATACTTAGGAGAATTTTTCTGGTTTCTGAAAATTAGGGCTGCATCTCAGGTAGCCTCAATTTAACAACGTATGTGGCTAGTCAGCTATTAGACTGGATCCTTGAAAACTAATTGCTTTTACCCAAAATGCAAACACAATTGAATTAGAATTGAATTCTTGTACCAGAATAAGTAAATCACACTGACTGTACCAGTATATGGACATTCTCCATCTTTTAAAAAAGCTTCCAAAACAGCATACCTCAGGCTGCAAAAAGGCACTCGCTCTGAATAATGTGCCAAGTGGACATTTTCCCATAATTAATCAGGTTTCATATCTTACTGGAGTATATGGACATTCTCCATCTTTTAAAAAAGCTTTCAAAACAGCATACCTCAGGCTGCAAAAAGGCAGTCTCGCTCTGAATAATGTGCCAAGTGGACATTCTCCCATAATTAATCAGGTTTCATATCTTACTGGGTGTTTTTTCTACCAATGCAAGTTTTCTTTATAGTTAGACCCTTAAAATGGTATTTTAGTTTGATCTTAACAACCTTACTTATTTCTCATTATATATAATCAGTGCTTTCATATAAATAAAATAAGATGCAAACAGTGGTGAAAACTCTTTTGCTTTTTCAAAATACTTACCAATAATGTAACAAGTGGATCTGTTGCTGTAGGCTCACCAGCTGGCGCATATGCAGGCACAGGCTAGCAATGGCGCTAGCAACCCCGCACCTGCCAATGAAGAGGAAGAAGATGAAGAGGATGAATATGACTACGACTATGAATCGCTGTCTGATGGTAACAATATATACTTATTTATTACAGTGCTGTTGTTAGAACTGTAGCAATAAGGCATATGAATATTCTAGGTCAGGAATGATGTAGATAGATTGATCTTACCTCGTGAGGGGAAGACGTACTAAATGTCCTCGGTGGCACTTTGGTGCAGTAGTCTATAATGCTGTGAAAATAATTTGACTGTGTAGAGGACTTGAGTGTGACTTTAACTCCAATTATTAGATGTTGTAACTGTGCAGTGTATGCTAAATTGTACTGTTTATAAATTATATTTTATATTATTTATATTATGCAAAAATTATTGTTTTCATAGTGTACTCTGTCTACATTCACCTGTATGGTCTTTCCGAAGGAGTTTAGACACCTGAAAGCTCAAGGTTCACAACAGGCTTAGCCCTTGCATCTGCATGACCGCCATTAAATTGACCTAAGATGTGGATTCTCCAAAGTCCTCCTTGGTTACTGTCTCATCCCAGAGACCCCTGAAGTACCTATTTTAGTTACACTTCCAGCATCAGCTGTTCACTTCAGGCATAAAGGTGGAGAAGCCACTGAGTCCCTGGCTTGTCCAGTAAAGATGGCTTTATTAAAGCTTTAGCTGCTCAGTGAAAAAATGGCAAGGCATGCCTTACTGACTTGCCTTGTAAGTTCATGTGCTGTCTAGGCTTCAGCTGTCCTAGCCTGCAGGAACTGGCAGTTTAGCACAAATCCACCTTTAGGGGCAGTTTATAGATTGGATATAATGATTGGCATGCCAGATAAAAAATACTACAGTTAGTAACTTCCACTACTTCCTTAGCTCTCCAGTTCAGTCAGACATGTTTGATTTAACTACAGATGAAGGACAGAATGTGCCAGACTGAGATGGCTGAGCTGAAGTCATGCATCTTGTCTTGCTTCTCTTGCTGCGGGGCTGGTAGATTCTGGTAGAGCAAACAGCTGGAGTCAGAAACATTTAGTCCCCTCAAGTTTTATCAAAGGACATTTGTCAAAACCCCCATGCTGGATTGAACAAGCTGGATGCATCTACGTGTGTTACTCATTATTTTTCATTGGTAATTGGCAGAGAATATCTCACAGTAGATCACAGTGCACTTACCCAGTGAGGCAGCAGTGATGGTACAAGCGATACCAAGCTCTTTGGGTAGTTAAATGCTGCATCATTATTAAACTCCATAAAATGGGTCACAAAACTGACCAAAGGAACAAAAAAGTTACAGATGCGCTTCAATGTAGATAAAGTTACACATTTAGGGGAAAAAACTTAAACCTTGCTTATGATTCTAAGCTCAACAGTGGCAGTAAGAATTTGATTTGAGAGATCATGGAATTATTGAAAGTTCTCCAAAATCCTCAGCTTGGTGTGCAGTGACAGCCAAAAGATGGCGATCATGAGGAACAGTACTGAAAACAAAACATCTTTTTGCTTCTGTTTAAAACCTTAATGTGCCGCAACTTGAGTTCTGTGTCCAGTTCTTGCCTCCAGATCTTGAAGGATATGGTGGAATTAAGGAAATTAGAGAGAAGGGCATTCAAAAAAGTGAAGGGAGCGTGGCGGTGGCCTTGCACAAGTCTGAAAAGGCTGGAATTCTCCAGCTGGTAGAGAAGAGAACTGAGGGGTGGCTTTGAAGCAGGTTTACTAAATCATGAAGCGGTGGATAGGAGGAGTTACTGTTACTCATTAGATCTAGGAGGTGCTCAGTAAAACAAGGGGAAGATCAGTCTAAAATAGGCAAAATACAGTATTTATTTGTGTAGCTGGTAGTAAACTTCTGGAAATTGCTGTTACGGGAAACTGCGGAGGCAAACGGTATCATCAGATTGAAAAAAGTATTGGATAAATTAATGTACAGGTTTATTAGGAAATGTTATAGGTAGAAATGTATGGTCCAACATCCCTAATATTCAGCAAGTGTGGGTGTTGGGCTGGTGCAAGGGAAGTGGACCATGACTAGTGGCTGGGTGCTCTCTTTAAACAGCATCTCCTGTTGCCACTGTCAGAAAGAGAATGCTGACCTAGATGGACCGTTGGTCTGACGCAGTTGGGCATGTTCTCCTAGGTAAAGTACTTCACTCATTGAACCTCTAAGTCTAATGGGTACCTGTCTAAGTTCCAGGTACCATGTTCAGAGAAGATGTAAGGCTCAAGCATGCCCTGAGGCACAGGATCTCTTTCCAGTGGTCTCTTACTTACATTACTTGCTTCTGTGTTAATGATTTAAAAAATAGTCACAAAATTAAGGACCTGACACTGCTTGTGGGCTAGTAGTATTATTTATGCTAATAGGAAAATTTATGACTTCGGTGCTGCTGCTGCCTTCAGTTGCATTTTGCTAGAAAGTTGGCCTGTCTACTTGAGAATACTCCTTGTGTGGGCCAGGGTGGAGATAGCGTAGATGTAAATTGCTGTGAAAAACTTAGACCTTTGTCAACGCACTTGCCAGGAAAATATTGCAAGCTAACTGCAGTAAGTGATGTTTGAGCAATGTTCTCGGTTTGACAAATCTGAAGGTAGCAAGAAACAGTCACACCTTCCAGTATATGAAGGAATCTGCGGCATGGTTTACTGCTTTATTACAATTATTAGTCTTTGGGATCTTTAATTACATTAATATTTTGGCAAAACTAATCTAAATCATTGTCTGTAAACTTTCTAAAGATTTCCAGTTTTATTTTCCTTACTGATACATTACGTTTGTGTAAGGCCAATAGTTTTACAACTGACACTTAATTTTCATTTCTCTGGCTGTAAATCTTAATTTCCTTTACTCTTATTCCCTCTCTGACTCCGTTTCCCTGTAGCTGATGTCCTTAATGCTTCTCCTGCTCCTAACAGCCAGGAAGGTAAAAGCCATTTGCTTGAGCATTTTAACTGCATGAAATCAGCACTGCATCTCCAGCCTGTTAAATGTGACAGTGTGAATATATGGTTTCTACTTCATATTAAAAATGCAATCAGATATTTTTATATGGGATTGTTAACTGGTCAGGAACTGTTAGAAGTCTGCATGTGTGACACTGGTTATGCATAAAAAGAATATGGTCAAAGCATCAAGAATATCAGGAATGAAATAAAACCATTCCTTTTGTGACAGTTACAATATTTTGGTCCAGAACGACCAAATTAGTAGGTGAATTATTCTCTGATAAATATGTAGCTTTGAAGAGGAATTTCTATAGATGTAAAAAATATGTGTTCATGGTGAATGTAAGGAGAGGGAAGCCAAAACTTGCTGTACAAAGATGTGAACATGTTTCGTTTGGTTAATTGTGTTTGGACTTGAGCAATTCTTTGTTGCTCAGGAATATCAGTTGTTTTCAGATGGCAAGCTTAATTCATGGGATGATTTTGTTTTAAGCATCTTCTGAGCACAAAAGGATGGGCTTTTAAAGAAGTGCAGCATATTAACCGAAGCCGAGCATTAAATTTTTAAAGTAGAAAGTTACTACTACAAGAGAATGCTTTGACCAGTAGATGCATCATTTTGGTATCTAGTTATTCAGATAAGATTCACAGCATTGTCCACAAATATTGTTAATTCAAATTAAATTTCCAATTGAAATTGTTTGGCTTTATGTTTATTAAAATCCCATTAATTTTTAGATAACATTCTTGAAGACCGACCTGAGAATAAATTATCAAGTGATAAACTGCAGTTTGAATATAATGAAGAGACTGCTAAACGAATAAAGAAGGCTGATTGTGCTACTTACAATAATAAAGGAAAGGTAGTTCTGCTTTTTCGCCCTTTCTTCTCAGCCACGCTTTGATACATAACCAGCTTCAAAAGGATTTCAGCAGTTTAGGTAACCGAGACATCAGATGGCAAATGCGTTTTAATGAAGACAAATAGCAGAAAGCATGGAAACACACCAGAGAAAACAGATGAAATAGAACAAATGCTCAACATACTGTTCAAGAAAAGTCTTCAGAGGTTGTTGGATATACAGGCTGTTTGGCTGAAAATTTTAACTGCCATTGCTCTTCATGAAAGGCTTCATTGAAACTAAATCCAGAAGTTTATTTAGATATCTGATTTCCATTAACCTCAATATTTTGTCTGAATCTTCAGCATCTTTCATGTATATATAAATAACTCCAACATATCACACTGTGATATCAGATAGCCACATTACCTTTTATTAAATCGACAACTGAACTGCTGCATTGCTTTTGAGTAAATTGTAGTCCCTCCTGAATACAGATGGCTTTTGTCTAAATGTTTGTAGAACTGGCTCTGATGAAGGCCTTTGCACACTATTCCAGTAACAGTGACAGGTATTGATGCATAAACCTGTACACAGAGGTCTGTTAGGTGAAGACTGCAAACCATATAGAAAGAATGAGATAAGGAATTTTAAGGACGTAAGATATGCTAGAGTACTTTCACATTCAGTAATCTTATTATTATATGTTCCTGGAATTGTCACTTAGGTGTACGATATGGAGCTGGGTGAAGAATTCTATCTTCTGCAAAATAAGAAGGAAAGCAGACAGATAGCCCCAGAGCTATCAGATCTTGTCATTTACTGTCAGGCCGTAAAGTTCCCTGGTAAGTACATGGCCCTGTTTTATTGCTTTAGCCTTTCTAATTCTTGGAGATGTTATGTTTATGTTTTGAATTAGTTAGTACAAGCATTTTCAAACTGAAGTAGTCAAGGAGCTTTTTTTCTTGATTATTTGGTAGTCTGCGTAATAATAGCTCTTGGCTGAGAAGTAGGATACATAAATTATATGAAGACGTATTGTTTGTCATATTAAAATGTTTACAAAAGTGAAATTTGCCAGTCTTCACAACTTGGACAACGGCTTCATTGCCAAATGACAGACGACAGAAAGCTTTATCTTAAGAGCTCCAAGTTTCCATGTAAGGACGTACTGAGTTAGGAAGGAAAATATTCTTCAAACCCTGCAGGAAGAGCTTGTCACGTTTCTGTAAGTGACCTCAGTTTAGCGGGTTACACCTTGGCCTACAGCTGCACCTTCTGTTCTTTCCTCAGTGGGTAGGGGAGGAGGCGTTTGGGGGGGTAAATCGGCCTCTTCCTGGGGTGGGTGAGGGCAGCTGATGGCCCACTCACACACACTCTTCATGGAAGGGGTTAAGGGAATAGGAGAGTCGCCTTTTGTACAGTAGGAAGAATAATGTTTGCAGAGGAAAAGAAGAGGGAGTAACTGAGAACTCACTGATAGTTACTTGTTCAGTACTGAAACATGAGGTTGAGTATGTTTTGGCTCATACTGTGTACATAAATACTTTTAAATTGAGAATTTATTGTTTATTGATGTGCTTAATGTTTTGAATGAAAAATCTGCTTTTTAATGGAATGGTGCTCTGTGGAAAAGTTAGCAATTCTGCCAAATCATGATCTTATACAAATAGAACTATAATCAGATTAGAGAAGCTAACCAAACATAAAATAGTGTCAAATAGGCAAGATAAACATGCTGAAAAATTGAGACACATTCTTTTTTAATCCTCTATAACTTTAAGAACTGTAGGTGTCACTTGTAAAAATAACAACTTCTAAAAATGCGAATCTGATCCTCTTTTTAATGAAATCTGCAGTGAGATATCTTTCAAATAAAATATTTTCTTTTAAAGAATGATATTCAAGATTAAAGAGAGATAGTTTAAATTGTTCCAAGCATTTTGACACACAAAGATGTTCTGATGTTGTAAGAAAACTTTAAAATATTTCAGTTTTTTAATGTAATTTCAGTTACAAAAGAAGTACCTGCGTTCCTTACGGGATTTCTTTCTCTTGCTTTAAAGGGGACATGAATAAAACAATTAAGAAAATGAGTTCCTTTCACAGATGAACACATGAAGCTGTAGAAATTAGTTTTCCAACAAACTTTGTCTCCTTTGAGACAAATACTGCCTTCTCTGCAAGACAGGGAGACTTCCATGCCCACCGTGCTACTGGCTGGGTTCCTCTGCTCAGCTGGAGGGCACAGACACGGTGCACTGCCATACTCCAACGTTGTCCATTAATAATGAGACCAAGGCTGGTACATCCATGACTATGTAGCTCTACTGACCGCATTCCTAACCAGCTCAGAAAATGCAAGAGATCTGTGACTCTGAAAAAGGACCATTATGTTCACGTATCTGAGCCTCCTGAGTAACACAGACTTCCCTAAGTGTTCCCTGGTCAAACCAGAATTTATCATGTGGAGAAAATAACATTCCTTGTTTATAAAATCTCTGCTAACGAGGAACCCACCACAGCTCTTGTTGTTTCAGTGGTTTTTGACCCCTGCAGTCCTTGCTTAACTTCAATTTCAGTCTGTTGGATATCATCATACTGCTATCTAAGAGGGTGAATGTCTTTTCCTTTGGGTCACCCAAGGTGAGGGCAGTGAAGCATACTTGAGCGCAGTAATGCTGTAACCCACTGGCACATGGCTCCTTGCCTTGGTGCTGAGGATCCTTACAATGAGTAGAGAAAATTGACTACATACAAACAGGATCTGCACAATCAAGTGCAGAGAGCAGGGAGTCACCTGAGCTAACCAGCATGAAATTTGGTCACCATCTCCATTGTATCAGACCATCTGCCCCTATGGTATCACTTTTCAAGAAATTAAAGTGAACATAAAAAAGGGCAGCCTACATAAAAAAGTACCAAATTCTTTTTCGAGGCCTGCAAACCCACAGACCAACTGAGTGTTGGTCTGGAACACATGGTGAGAAGTGGACAATTACAGTTTAACCTGTTACTTTAGCATGATTAGAGTAAGAAGGGCAGGGAAGCTTGCCATCCTCTGGATTAAAAATCTTCAAAGCAGTAAAGCAGTGTGGTTATATCTAACATGGGAGACAGGCACTAAATCCTGTAACTCAGAGGATATAGCATGCAGAGGCTGTAGGGAA